TCGGTTGCTTGCTCCTTAGCTTCCCTGCGCTCAGCGAATCAAGCCGCCAAGTTGTGCCTGGCTGGTCCAAAAGTGCGGGAGACCTCCACGGAGTGGAGCGTGCGACATTGCTGCCGGCACGTGCACCATCGGCGTCGTGGAAGCAAAGCCACAGTGCAGATGGGCCTCACACAACAATGAAATCACGGAAGTGCGGGCAAGAGAATGGCACTGCAACGGAGGCCGGAGGGTGCAAAAGACCCGACCTCCTTGCCGCAAGAGTGACAAAAAGAGCAGCCGCTGCCGGAACTGCACATCCCTCCATTTGGAGACACGCAGAGTTGCGAGGTCTGAAAGCTGAACAGCTGCCGTGCTACTCTAAGCGACGGCCGACTGAAAAGCCGCGCGAAGCACGCAGTGACCATTCTTCGGCTGAAGCAGACAAGCTGGTGTGAACAAACGATGCTATATCATGCCAGGGCTACCACATGCGCGTGGTACATCGGTTCCGTCTGTGCCATAGATGAAGCAATGCTAGTCGAGAGCACAGTGGCCGCAGATGCAACTTTGTTGGGTGCAATGCTGGAACATGCACTTAGCATAGCTATGCGGGAGCGTCGACCTGCAAACCTCATGTCGCCCAATTCCAAAGTCTCAGGCTTCTTAAGGCTCCGACACCTGTCAAAATCTCTAGTCGGTCATGCAGCAACGCTCGGGAGGCGGCCAGTGCAAAGAGCACGTGGAGATCTCAGCAAGCAGCACCGACGCTGGATGTGCAGAGAATCGCAAAGAGGCAGCACGATGGAGACGCAGGCCCGGCGGGGAGGATCGCAGCAGCAGACCCATCTGCAAGAGGCTCTGCTACCTCTCATCCCCCCTGGGAGCGCCACTGACGATTTCCAGGCAAGCTTAGGGTCATGGGCCGTCCCCCCTTTCTGCACAGGCAAAGCCCGGCAAGTCACATGTCAAACATCCTCTCTCAGTCCTGCAGGCCTTATAAGCCATTAAACTGAGTTTAAAAGTTCCTATTTATTCCTATGACCCTCAGACCAACCTTCCAGATCGCGCTGACTCGCCTTCGTTGTGTCCGCGGGCCGGACCTCCTCTCCAAGGTTACCGACCAAACCCGCCGCCTCCTACTCTGGCAAACAGCTCTGGTCGGAGTGATGCTTTCGCATCTTTCGATGAAGCCACAGGCTACCTGGCTACCTGTGTGAAGCTCATGCGATTGCCATTTTGCCTTGACATTGCCTGGCCGAATAGCCCATAAGGCTCAGCAAGCTGCAGGGTGGATGCCAAGTGAGTTCAGGCCTGCCGGTGTGGACAGGACCGGCATGGCGGGAAAGAGCAGGGAAAACTGCCAGGAACCAAGCGAACCCCAAATCACTGTGACCGTGCTCAGCGGCTTCAGTTCAGCTGAGCCGTGCTTGATGTCGGCTCTTCACTCCCTAGTTAACAAGCTGGCACGATTGGCAGCCCAGCCACGCTGTCTGTCTGGTTGTAGAAGGCTGAGCAGGCTGCAAGCCAGCGGATAGAAACAGCGGGGGACCACCAGGGTCTGGCAGGTGCAGGCTCTTGGGAGAACTTCCCATGTCACGCTCATCGAGGGCTCGGCTCGGATGCTGGCCCTCATCTTAAATGCAAGAGATGGCACTCTGATCGAATTTGTCATTGCCGAGTGGCAAGCCACCCTGCACTGCTTCCGGGCTCTGTGGGGAAGTGGCAGGCCAAGGATCAGCTGCATGCTACGACTACTCTCGACTAGGAGCTTGTACCATCGTGTACCCTTGCGGACCTGGCTTTCTGTGGCTGGACTCCAGGATCAACATCCATGCAGCTTTTGGCGCCTAGCTGCGGCTGGCAACTCCACAGCCTCTTGTCTTTTTGGTGCTGGTGACTTCACAGCCTCACTTGCAAGACGCTCTACTCTGGGCTTTAAACAGCGGGTAGCAAACTCCGGGCACTCGGGCGGATGCGGGCAACTGCACGCAAGCATATGCATGCATGACGAAAAGCGCATGACGTAGCAAACTGAGAGGCTTTCTGGAGAGGGATCGCTTGGCTTGCCAGCCTTGGCTCAGACACCGCGCGGCTTCGACCTATCTGGCCATGAACTCTACAAGACCTTCGGTCGCAGCAGCCGATCAAGAGCATCTGGGCTAAAGTGCCCTTTCAGACCTGGCTGCCTTTCACTCCCGCTTGGCATCAAGAAACCGGCGCGGGATAGGCGAAGAAGGACGAAGAGCGCTGGCAACAGAAACTCGAGTGATCCTGCAAAGAGCCCTCGGGCGAAGCAAGCTTCTGCCGCGAAGGAAAAAGAATGATTTCAAACGTCGTGACACGGCTCTCTTGGGCCGTGTCCGAAAGCTCTTCGACACGTGACCGGGCAGGGTTGCACGGACGGTGTGGGCACCGCAAGAAGAGACGCCATCTCTTCGAAAATTAACCAGGCTTGTGTCACAAAACTCTCCCTGCCCTTCCGCACAGTGGCGGCCTCGTACGTGAGCAATGCCCGTCAGCGGCCATTGCACGCGAAGCGCATCCGGTGTCCGCAGCATGCGCAGCATGCGCGACAGACAATGCGGTGATGACAGCAAGGTCAAGATTATCACTGTCCTGGTTCTGGTGGGCGCATGCGTTCCGATCCAGGCGGTGCTCTCACCATCTGCAGTTCCTGCTTGAGAAACAGACGTGCACCTGGAGTCGGCACTGCAAGATCTGCACGTCTCCCAAATTGGCAGGGTGCTGCTGCCTTGATTCCCTCACTGTCTCAGATCGTTGTCCCCTTCGGTCGGTTTCGCTGGCATGCATAGCAGATAGCTGACACTAGCTGTCCCACAAGCTTTCTCACAACGGTGGGGACTCATGCTGCGCACAGGTGGCACTGTTGATTGTTGAAACAGCCGTCACTTCTTCCCCAGTCCTGTCGTCTAAATTTCTTCTCGCAGATTCATTATCTTGCCTCCGGCAATCATTCGTCTGGCTACCCACTCCACACGTTGGCTCCCAATGTCAAGGCATGGCAGCCTGCAAAAGACGTGACGGGCCTGATGGAATGACATATCTCGGAGCACGGAACTGCTTGCAGCTCGCACATAAGTTTAGTTTCCGTGTCGCCAGAACAGGGACGGGGCCGTGGTGTGATTCCGTCAGTTTGGACCATGGGAGATGTGGAATGGGCCTGTAGCTCTTGGCAAGAGTGCGACTCGCAAGACAGGCCTCCACTAAGGCCTTTTGTGCAGAGGATGGTGCGTAATGGCAGAACTTGCTGTTACAGATACTAAACGAATGCTCTAGTATGTCGGAGTTGCGTCATACAAGCCTCCTCTGTCGAAGTGAGCAAAACAAACAATGGCTATGACCTTTCCTAAGGGGAGTTGGAGTTGGCATTCACACGTGTAAGACGTCTGCCCTTTTGCAAGCTGGTAGTGTGCACAGACAAGGGAGTCGCATGTGGGTGTACAGCAGGAGACCAATGCCAGAAACTGCCTGTCAGTCGTAGGCCTGTTCCAAGGGTGTTGACCTGAGAGCTGCGTGGTGCTCTACCGTGGTATACGGTGCACAGCGAACGAAGGGCCTAGTCTGCCTCTAGAAATGCCGATTAGTGTGTAGGCTGGCAGGCCAAGGATCAGCTGCATGCTACGACTACTCTCGACTAGGAGCTTGTACCATCGTGTACACTTGCGGACCTGGCTTTCTGCGGCTGGACTCCAGGATCAACATCCATGCAGCTTTTGGCGCCTGGCTGCGGCTGGCAACCCCACAGCCTCTTTTCTTGTTGGTGCTGGTGACTTCACAGCCTCACTTGCACGACGCTCTACTCTGGGCTTCAAACAGCGGGTAGCAAACTCCGGGCACTCGGCGGATGCGGGCAACTGCACGCATGCATATGCATGCATGACGAAAAAGAGCATGACGTAGCAAACTGACAGGCTTTCTGGAGAGGGATCGCTTGGCTTGTCAGCCTTGGCTCAGACACCCCGCGGCTTCGACCTATCTGGCCACGGACTCTACAAGACCTTCGGTCGCAGCAGCCGATCAAGAGCATCTGGGCTAAAGTGCCCTTTCAGACCTGGCTGCCTTTCACTCCCGCTTGGAATCAAGAAACCGGCGCGGGATAGGCGAAGAGGCACGAAGAGCGCTGGTAACAGAAACTCGAGTGATCCGGGCGAAGCAAGCAGGGCAGATGTGCCTCATACAACAATGAAATCACGGAAGTGCGGGCAAGAGAACGGCACTGCAACGGAGGCCGGAGGGTGCAAAAGACCCGACCTCCTTGCCGCAACAGTGACAGCAAGAGCAGCCGCTGCCGGAACTGCACATCCCTCCATTTGGAGACACGCAGAGTTGCGAGGTCTGAAAGCTGAACAGCTGCCGTGCTACTCTAAGCGACGGCCGACTGAAAAGCCACGCGAAGCACGCAGTGACCATTCTTCGGCTGAAGCAGACAAGCTGGTGTGAACAAACGATGCTATATCATGCCAGGGCTACCACATGCGCGTGGTACATCGGTTCCGTCTGTGCCATAGATGAAGCAATGCTAGTCGAGAGCACAGTGGCCGCAGATGCAACTTTGTTGGGTGCAATGCTGGAACATGCACTTAGCATAGCTATGCGGGAGCGTCGACCTGCAAACCTCATGTCGCCCAATTCCAAAGTCTCAGGCTTCTTAAGGCTCCGACACCTGTCAAAATCTCTAGTCGGTCATGCAGCAAAGCTCGGGAGGCGGCCAGTGCAAAGAGCACGTGGAGATCTCAGCAAGCAGCACCGACGCTGGATGTGCAGAGAATCGCAAAGAGGCAGCACGATGGAGACGCAGGCCCGGCGGGGAGGATCGCAGCAGCAGACCCATCTGCAAGAGGCTCTGCTACCTCTCATCCCCCCTGGGAGCGCCACTGACGATTTCCAGGCAAGCTTAGGGTCATGGGCCGTCCCCCCTTTCTGCACAGGCAAAGCCCGGCAAGTCACATGTCAAACATCCTCTCTCAGTCCTGCAGGCCTTATAAGCCATTAAACTGAGTTTAAAAGTTCCTATTTATTCCTATGACCCTCAGACCAACCTTCCAGATCGCGCTGACTCGCCTTCGTTGTGTCCGCGGGCCGGACCTCCTCTCCAAGGTTACCGACCAAACCCGCCGCCTCCTACTCTGGCAAACAGCTCTGGTCGGAGTGATGCTTTCGCATCTTTCGCTGAAGCCGCAGGCTACCTGGCTACCTGTGTGAAGCTCATGCGATTGCCATTTTGCCTTGACATTGCCTAGGCCGAGGCCGAGTAGCCCATAAGGCTCAGCAGGTTGGACCTTCCGAGCGGATCAAGGGGGTGAAGGATGCCAGGTGTGATCAGCCTGCACGGGCATCAAGGGCCAAAACTTTGCTGGCCCAACTTCAGCTTAGGCCCATCCACAGGTTCATTCTTCCTTGCATATCCAACCTGGTAGAAACTATCTCAGCCGCAATAGGAACATGATTGATTCGATGAAATCGCTTCATCCCGGCCGCCCTCGGCCGGCCTCGCAAGGCCTCGGGCCTCGGTGCCCAAAAGCACTCCTGGCACACTCTGCACCTGGATGCAGGTAAGCTTCACGCGACTTCAGCTGCCGCCTGCAGGGACAGCGCTCCACAAAATGTGAGCTAAGAAAGCCCGCTTGGAGTTGATCTGATAAGCCCGTGTCTTCTTCCTCTGGTAGCTCCCTCGATGATTTCTGCCTCCCGCACCGTGTAAACTGCAGCGGCGCATCCCCTTGACCCCACGCCAAGGCTGGTTAAAAGGCTGCGATCAAGACATTGTCATGGCTTCAAAATTAGCATGAGCAGGTTAGAAGCAGAAGGACATGGCCTGGGCCTGTGCGAGTCTTAGCTATCCCGGCAAGCCCAACATACAGGCTTTCAGCCTGCCAGCAAAATCGAGGAAGCGACACATCGGCAAGCCGTCTTTTCTCCAACCGCTTGTCATGAATTGCAGCATGCTCCGCATCGGCCTCCAAAACCAAAATCGCTCAAAGAGAACCGCAACATCACTCAAGAGGCCTCGCCAGCCGTGCAGCGGCAGAAAACACCTGCGGTGCTCATGTGATAAAACTGATAAAAAAAGGTTGCCATAGCCATGAGATGCCCTGAGCTCTCGACTGTGAGATCCGTGCTGTCCGCTTCTGGGTCGCTGTGACGCTTCCCCGGGTTTGTTTTGCTCCCTGGCACGTCTCATGAGTCAAGAGGTATTGATGTCGGGCCAGCATTCTAGGCACGACTGCGGTTCAGGAGTACCTTCCTACGGCAGCCTGAATACCGCAGAACTCGACCGCATGCTGAGCTCCGGGCGCACAGTAGTTGCGGCAGAAGTCAGTACCCCCAGGACAAGCCTCCTGTCACGGTTCGTCGATGCAATGGAGACAGTAGCGGACATGTCAATGTGTCAATGCCAGGGCACTTGCAAGTGCAAGTGACAAGCCAGGCACCTTCCATGGTCTGATGCACTTGCCTGCACCTGCAATACTTTCCGCACTGATGCATATCTTCTGTAGCACCACCAAGTGCTTCATCTTGCCCATCCCCACCGAGCTTGCAAGCGAGCAAGCATCACCCTCGCACCAAACGAAGCCTGATCCAGTCACAAAACATGACACATTCCCTCACTGAATTTGTACGCGACTCCTGGCACAGCAGAAACGCTGTTCTGGTTCCAGGCTGGACCTCGTGCAACTCTGGCCTGCTGCTTGCAAGCATCCCCGTTGATCACGGTTTTGGCCGAGAGCAGAATCCTTGAGACTTCAGTCTCAGTCTCAATCGTCTCAGTCGGACGTTCCACAAACGGACGCGGGACGCGAGGGCCTCCCAGATTTGTCGAACGCTCTGCTGGACATCTGGCCTGTGAGCGCTACGCCGCTACGACTCGTCTCCGGCTCGTATTAGCGGCTTTCATACGAGTACCGGCTCTATGCTGAGTTGGGGGGATCTGCAAGGTGCGAGCATGTGCGAGCATCCTTCAGAGTGACCGGGGTTCTCACGGCTTTGCTGCCGTGAGCCAGCAGATCAGGCAGAATGCTGCCACAACCTTGCAGCGCACCACAGTATGAATCTACCACGAGAATGGCCACATTGAGAAGGATCGCAAGAGCAGTAGCTGTAGCCGCAACACGGACAACTGCAAGTACCGGTCGCATGCAAGACTACAAGCGCGGTGGCGCGACCTCAAGATGACACTGCGCTCCGAAGCCCCAACCAGCCAAAACAACAAAAAATAACTATCACGATTCAAGAACTACGATCCTACCATCCCTGCTCCACCATGCCCATCTCTGATGCACAGCACCAGCAATGTCACCGAGCAAGACAGGTACTGATACTGAACGCAGCCGAACAACTCAAACTCAACATGAAGAAGGCGCAGCAATTCTTCAGCACCAGCGGCTCTACTGTAGACTGCAGCCTTTAGAAGCTTGGCGTCATGCCATGACGGCCAAAGTCGGGCCCCATAGGCCAAACGACGACTCTTGGCCATAAAGTTGCCTCGCCATTGTGATGAACGAATCTTTGGACTCGCCCGGGCACCAAGAGTTGTTCAACTGGCCCCAACTTGAACTGATTCCCACATTTCAAGTGTCAGGATGCTAATAAGCTGATACTTGCACAGGTTTCGATGTGTACTGTTCCACTCCTCGGGGTCTCGGAGCTTGTGGATTCGGCTTCGTTTTCCAGCACCGCAAGTATGGTTTGATACGAAGTATAGTTTCTGGCGATGCCCCAGCAAACCCGAGTGCCACGGTAGTTATACTCCAACACAGCTAGGGCATCTGCCAAATGGGCTCAAAGCCGCTACTAGTAGTTAATCGCTAGTTTGCACCGAGATGATGAGTTGCTGTAGTAATTGTTTGCTTGCAAGGGATATGTTTGGTATCGTAGCAACAGTGACTGTGCACATCTCGGGCCAGCCTTGCGCGTCCCATTGGTACCTGCAATCAGGGCTGGCGGATGTTGGCAGGCATACCCCTTGGACAACGGACTTCCCTGTATACTCGCATCTGATCCGGTCTTGCACTGAAAAGCGCAGCCACTGCAAAAGAGCACAACGCAGTTCGCAAGGTTCGCGGATTTTGGAGGCTGGGAAATATGCGTCTACCAGGCCTTCAGACAAAGGCTGTATCGTCATTCCAACGTGCCGCTGACGTGATGCGACAGAACCCGATGGCTGGTGTTGGAGTGTTCCATTTTTGCATTGAAGCATGTAAAGATGCTGCTGTGCAGTCCTCTGTGGTTACTGTAGTAGACCGTATATAAGTCTACATCTGCTTGCATCATGTCTCAGCAGAGCCAACCCTAAATTCTGCGAGCGAGGTGCAGCGCTTCGTCTGCTCCAACACAATGTATACAATGTGGCATAGGGAAGTGATGATTTTGCGACTTGCAACTTGGAGCACGAAGTCTCCGGCTGCAGCAGTTCCCCTCGCAGTGTTCGCCGAGTTGATGGACAACTGTGGCACACTTGGTGTCCAGGTCTGCGCAGTCCCCACCAAGAGTTCGTACATGGTAGGCTTCGCATTATCCGCTGTGGGTCCACCTGCCGCAGGCTAGTACCACTTTCATAGTCTGGCCTGGACGAAGGCCTCGTCACTGCAACGCGAACTTCGATGCAAGCACGGCAGACCGCAACAAACTGCGCTCGTCCTCGTGTGACAATCCTCAGTCAAGGCTCGCACTTTTTCCGGGAGTTTCAGCGGGTGCAGACAATCCATGTGGCGCACCATTGAATGACTCGGAACATGACATGCTATCCCCCACATCTTAACCTAGGGGGGGCCGAAATTGTAATTTACAATTTCCGGGGGGTGACCCCTCGCCCTGCATTTAATTGTAAATTCCTGTCCGTGCTCCCTCATACTCTCTCTCTCTCTCTCTCTGCCGTGCCATGCCGTGCCATCATCAAGTGTCTCGCAATGCAAGGGCACGAAAAATGGAGACATGTAATGACATGTTGACAGCTTGCACTGGATGCGAGAAGACCCTTGTTTTCACCTTCGAGGCTCTCTCTGAGGTTAGCCGCTGCTTTTTGCAGCGTTGAGCGGCAGCCATGCCGGTGCGATTTTATCCACACGCTGTACAAAGCTCTGCACTGCCTTGATCGCTCCGCTTCGGTCTGGGTGCATATCCTTCAGGATCTGGAATACCGAGGTGCTGTACTGAACCCCTGTCTTTCCTGCACACACAACGTCGAAGTACATAACGGAGCGAACGCAAACTTCTTCCCACAGAATCTTCTGCTGGCCATAGTGGAAGTAGGATCCTTGGAGGAGCGGCGTCGTCGTCTGTGCATAAAGCGAAGGCAGCATACGGAGGAACTGCGGCAGCAGCTTTGCACAGGCTGCCGGAGTGAAACTCCGAGAGTTGAAGCCTTGCACGTCCTTCAGGAGGGCATCTGACGACACTGGCGTGGACTCCGCCTCATGCTTCCAGGACTTCTTCTCCACAAAGGCGTTGAGCTGTGCAATGGCCTCGGCACTGAAGTGGTAGGAAGTCTTGGAATCCGAGGTCACCACTTCGGTTGGCACGAACTGCGCCAGCACACATGTGGCATCGATCATTTCAACGCGGTTGAAAGCACTGGCGAAGAACGTGGTGGGAGTAGCCTGGACCAGCTCGACAACCCGCAATCTGCCAGCCATGGTGATCGGCACTGGACTTGCACACGGTCTCTGCAATTTCAGCCTGCGGCTGCCATCTTTCAGGAGGGCTCCCCTGAACACCGTGAGCAAGAGAGCCAGGAAGATGCCCCCACGGACCTCGACCACGAAAAGCTGCCGATTTTCTCGGCCGCCACTGCCAAACACACGAACAGGCTTCACCGAAGAGCCTCCGGCTTCAGAGGATGCTTCCAGAGCTGCGACTCGGTCTTGCCCCTGGGTCCAGGCTGCATGCCTGGAAGTCCTGGTGCCTTGCACGTCGTAGAGGCTGGCCTGTCTGGCCAATGCCAGCTCGTGATTCAGCTGATGCCACTCGTGACGAGCATGCTCCGAGGATCTGGTAATCTGGGCCTTGCTGAGCTCTCCGATGCTGAAGTGCACGCACTGGATGTAGTCCTGGAGCGGCCGCCGGATCTCTTCCATGCGCTGTTGCAAGTTTCGGATGGCTGAGTCGGTGCTTTGCGGGAGGCTCATTGATGGAAGCTGGCGAAGCTGCTGCAGGAGTTTCACGATGTCGAGTGGATGGTTGCCAGGCTCGCCGACATCAACGAGCTCATCTGCAGCAGATGTGTGGCCTTCCATGCTCGACGGCGCAGCGGATGCCTGGCCTTCCACACCCGATGCCTGGTCCGACTTCGGGGCCTCCGCTCCCGAGAGCTCTGCCATGAGGCTGTGGATCTGCTTCTTCACCTGCATGTGGGAGTCGCAGCACTGGAGCAAGTCCTCAGCCTCTTCGTCCTCCTCGTCCTCGGCTTGCTCCGCCTCGGTCGTGTGATCGAGGAGCTCCTCCGTCCACTTCTCGTCAGCAGGAGCATCCCAGGCATCCCATACATCGGAGGTGTCATCGATGTCCGTGTGGATGGTGACGAAAGACTTGCCCTCAGTAGCCCACCAATGCTCAAAGTCGGTCTCGATGAGGCTGGCGCTTCGATGCCGGCTGATCACGGACTGGAAATAGACAGCATCTTGCAATGCTCGCTTGCTCATCGCGGCCACCTGTTCCAAAGGTACAGGCTTCAGAACCTTGGGATCTTTCCACTTCGCGGCTTTGCATTTTTTCCAGGAGTGCAGATGCTGGTAGTACGTTCCGTAAATGCTGTCCCTGATGGATGCCTGCCCTGTCCACGAGGATTTCACTCGGCCGAACCACGATTCGGAGGGCCTTTCAGTTCGGCCGCGAAGCACGAAAGGGTTACCCTGCTCGTGGGTGATGCTGGCCACGATGGCGTGTGCTAGCAAATGGAGAAGGTTTCTGACCGTGCACATGGGTAGGCTGGAATCCTTAAACCGATCCCCGAACCGGCGCTTGTTTTCGCATATGTGGAGCAATAACAAGTGGTACACGAACAGTGCAGTCTGCACTGTCAGCTCGGGTGGCAGCCCGGACAGCCACGTGGCCGCGACCAGGGATCCCAGGAAGCATGCCAGGAGCATGCCGTCCCCCATCCAATGGAACTTGGAGTCCATGGCAAACCTGGCATTCAGTCTCATCCACGAAGCTTCATCCGATTGAGGATCACGAGCGATGTACGCCGAGACCGGCAACCCGTTTCGATACATGAGGTCGTAGTCACAGAAGAAGCTGCCGTGCAGGACGGTTCTGCAGGACGACATGTGAGCCAAAGAATAATTCTTGAGGCAATGAAAGATGTCATTGGATCCGTGCATTGCGTGACCACCGTAGGTCACTCCCCCGAATGGGAAGTGTGGCACCTGATCGAAGCTGATCCTGCGACAGTCCTTCCAGAATGGGCCATTCATGTCTTCAGGAGGCAGGAGTCCCAGAAACACGCGATGAATCAGAGTGTTGCAGCTTCCATTGTCGGCTGCGAGACACAGCGGCGGCACCCCGCCCGTGGCTTTCGCCATGGAGTGCAAAGCTTGGCCGGCCAGCTGGAAGAACATCTCTGACTTCCGTGTATCTGTATCCTTAGTAGCCTTGGCCTGCAGCACGGGGACCATACAAAGATCAAAGATGGGGCCGTTGTCGTCGGTGCGAGTCACGACGAAGGATATTGTCATTCGGGCGAGCCAAGCTTCATCTCTCTTATCCTCACTCCGGAGCAGGCTAGCATCCAGTTCAGGAGACCAACCCCCGCCCACCACCCAGTATCCTTCCCCACCGAGGCCCGAGATAGCCTCGTAACCCTTCCGCCAGACCGTCTCGTCCAAAGACATGGTGAGGG